GACAGAGAAAGGTCAAAAAAAACTCTACAGCTTGTGAGAGGAGAGTGGTTTGGTGGCTTACCTGACACTCTCTGATGTAAATGAGAAGCCCCTCCCCTTCTCCCCTGTACCATGTCTTAATCTCATCAGAGGGTTGCCATTCTGGCAGTAGAGACATGCTTTTTCTGTGTCCTTCTCAACCCATTTTTCCCTTCCCTTGGCTTTGCATCATTACCTTCAATCTTCTTTAATACCAAAGACAATGACAGGATTTCTACTTGAATTTTTGGACATATATGTACCTGAGGTCATTAAGAAGAAGACTATGGATCTCTGGAACTACCCCTGACAGACAACCGGTTAATTATTACTATTTATAGGATTATGTCGCTTAAAATGTGTTACTACAAGGCAATCAATGTTATAGGAAGAAAAATGGGAAGATGGAGGGGAAATTGTTCAGGGAGCTTAAAAACCCATAGGAGAATCGTAGCCTTTTTAAGAGTCACAGTAAATACGTCTGCAATGTTTACAACAGGTCAGCTATTGTCCCACACTCTTTACACATATTAATTCATTCAGTTCTCACATAGCAGATACCATTATTCTGCCCATTCTACAAATGAAGAAAGTCTACAGTATTTTCTTGTTCTAGAGACCATGAGACTCAGAAGGTGAAAGGCCTTGCTTTTCAGGATAAAAGGAGCACACATTTCTTGCTAGAGCTTAAGGTAGAGTTTTGATGTCAGAGAAAAACTTTCAATGGCAGAAATGAATGATTGAAAGTCAAAGTAAGTTCAATTTATTTCTTACATGTGCATTACCTAGTCATATATATAAAAGCAACTTTAACTTAGTTTATATTTTTTTTTCATTTCGACATTTAATCTGAGAGCACTTCTTCTATATCTAAAGGTTTCTATGTTAAAAATGATTAATAATATACTTTTTGCCATTCCCCAGTATTTTCAGACTGAACTAGATTTTATTCAGTAGGGGTCAAACAATAACTTTTCCTACCACTCTTGGGAACCCCATAACATAAGATAGTACTTTTTTTTTTTGCAGAACATATATCTGATAGATTTATTCAGAATGTACTAAATATCCAATAATAAAGGCAAATAACTATTTTTAAATGGACAAAAGATTCGAACAGACAGATACTTCACAAAAAAGATATCCCAATGTACAATAAGCACATAAACATATTCAATGTCATTACTCATTAGGAATATGCAAATTAAAACCACAATGAGATACTACTACACATATTTTAGAGCAGCTAAAATTAAGAGGACTGACAATATCAATTTTTGTTGCAAATGGGATGCAGATGAAAGTCTCATATATTGCTCATGCAAATGCAAAAGAATATATTTGGAAAACTATTTGACAATTTCTTAGAAGTAAATATATACTTATAGTAAGATATATACATGCCATTTTCTAGATATTCCCCCATGGAAAATAAAAATATATAGCCACGCACACACTGGTTCTCAAATGCCTTGAGTCATATGGATTTAAAACATTCCTACTTTCCCATTTTACATGTTCATATCGAAGGTATGCATTTTTAGGAAATATTTTATTTAACACTTAGAAGGTGAGGGATGATGGAGGTATAATTAAATGCTGCTATCAGCAGAATAGAACATTGTCCCACGATAATGTTCAGCTCTCCTGCCAGAGCATAAAAGGAGGGGCAAAGCCGAAGCACTGATTTTCCAAGCAGGAGACGTTTGTTCAGTGACAATGTCTTATTACAATTAATTTACTCCTAGTGTACAAATGACGAATGCAAGACTAATTGCAGCCCCTGCAGATTAGGAAACATTGTTTCCTGGTTCCTTTCTTCTAGACCAGTACAAACCGCAGTTGGCAGCTGCTTACTGCCGTGCTTAATACTTCCTTCTGTCTAAAGTTTGTGTCTCTCACTGTTTTTCCTGTTTTTTTTTTAGCATTCATTTTTCTTACTCTCCTCCTAACACCCTTTCTTTATCAGTTCCCTCTCTCCCCTTCAGCTCGTTAGGTTATTCATCTACTGATTTTTTATTTATTTTATCTCAGATTAAGAAGCGATTTCTGAGCCCAACTGCACATCAGAATCAGTGGAATATTTTATTAAAAATAATTATTTCTGGGCCCTGCCCCAAGGGACTCTGACTCGAGAAGGCTTCACTGGCCATGAAAATCAGCAGTTTTAAAGTCTGTATTTTTTTTAAAGGATTCCCAAATCATCATCATTTGCAGTCAGATTTCAAGACCCTTCATTGCTCTCCTTTAGATTACCCTAGTCAGCATTCTGTTGGTTTATTTCAAACTCTGGAAGATGCAATCAACACATCATCCTGTTGAGAACAAATGCTCCCCCACAGAAGCCCGAATGTACCTGCTCTCTGAACCCCGCCAAGAGCATGTGAGCTCAGACACTGCTTCCACGTTGAGTGTTTTTCAGATTCCCTACTGTTTTGATGAATGCAAGATTAATCAGGCAGTGGGCCTGCTGCCCAGAGAGGCTGTTTGGAAAACAGTAGACCAGGATGGCAGAACCTCCACTTCAAATTTGGTCGTCAGAAGTGAACACACTCAGAATGAGGAAGCAGCCAGCTCCTTTCTCTGAGATTCAGGCCTCTCAATCTTAGCCTCATACCCAGTTAATATGCTCTCTCTCCTGTGCATTTTCTAAGTATGTGGCAGCCATCTGATAAGAACAGAAAGGCTGCATTTGCTAAATCTGGGCTGGTTCTTCAGTGAGTACATGAGAAACTTAAATGGAAAAAGAGCACACAGGCCCTGCAGACGGGGTATGGAACACCTGCAATCATAAATTACTGGATGACCGAGAGCATTGTGACCACGACAGCAACCCTCACAATGCCTTGGGAAAATTACATTGTTATGATTCATCATGAAAATATATTATCGATGGGAAAATTTAAGGATGTTTTGGAAAGCATCTTAACAACACAGCTTTCAGTACAGTAAAAATAACATTCTTACATGGTTTTCTTCCTAGACAAAAGAAAATACAAATACATATTTCCACTACTCAAGTGTATCTATTTAAATTTTATAGGGATAATACAAGTTGGCGAGCACATTCTTAGGAGTCATGAGCCAAGTCAACTTTATTACTTCTATGTACTAATAGGATAGCAAATTACCTCACCTTTACTCGCTACCCATGATAATTATAACAACAAATATACACTGAGAACTCTAGTGTCTTGCCAGGTTCTGAATGTATATCTTGTTTTTTCAAATAAAAAGAATTTTTGTTGTTTCATATTACAAAGGAATTACATGGTCATGTTCATTTAAAATACATAATATTAAAAGAAAGAAGTAAGAAAATAATTCCATCAGAATTTCATCACCCAGGGATCCTCCACAGCCACATTTCAAAAAACACACTGCCACTGTGTAACAATTGCTTGTGAGCGGTTTTGTGGCAGGGTTATTGCTCTTCTGCCTTAAATAACCTATTAAATTTTTAAAAAGAATGATGATACAAAACTGACAAAATGATTAGATTTTCATTGCTGTATGTATCCTTCCAGACTTGTTTTTATGTACATGCATATACACGTGCACACACACACACACACACACAAAGGATTGAACCATTTCATAAACTTTTTTGTCATGTAACAATAATATGTAAAACAATGTGAAAATTTTGTCAGTGAATACTGACATGCATGGTCATTTATAGTAAACACAGAGTTCTTCATGTGATTCCCCTACAATTTATTTAACATCTCTCCTATTGCTGAGCATGTAAAATGCTTCTAATTTGTTGCTATCAAAAATGGATCAATAAGTTATTATTATACATATAGCTTTGCATACCTGTAAGCTTATTTCCTCAAGATAAATTTCTAAAAGGAAAATGGCTGGCCCAAATCACCCTACAGACATCGTGCCTAAACTTCAAAAATGCTTTCGTACAGCAAAGGGAACCAAAAACAAAACAGAAAGACAACCTACAGACTGGGAAAAATATTTGCAAATTATGTGACTGACAAGGGCTTAATTTCCAAAATATATAAGCAGCTTATACAACTCAATAACAACAACAACAACAAAAAACAACCCAATTAAAAAATGGACAGAAGACCTAAATAGATATTTCTCCAAAGAAGATGTATGGGTGACCAATAGGCATGTGAAAAGATGCCCAATATTGCTAATTATAAGAGAAATGCAAATCAAAACTATAATGAAGTATCATCTCACACCAGTCAGAATGGCCATAATTAAAAAGTGCACAAATGATAAATGCTGGAGAGGGTGGAGAAAAGGGAACCCTCCTACACTGTTGGTGGGAATGTAATTTGGGGACGCCACTATGGAAAACAATATGGAGATTCCTTTAAAACCTAAAAATAGACTTACCACATGATCCAGCAATCCTACTCTTGGGCATATATCTGGAGGAAACTCTAATTCAAAAAAATACACAAATACCAATGTTCATAGCATCACTATTTACAATAGCCAAGACATGGAAACAACCTAAATATCCACTGACAGATGACTGGATAAAGAAGTTGTGGTATATATATATACCACACACACACACACACACACACACACACACACACACACACACACATATATATAATGGAATATTACTCAGCCATAAAAATGAAATAATGCCAGTTACAGCAACATGGACGGACCTAGAGATTACTATACTAAGTGATGTATGTCAGACAAAGACAAATATCATATGATATAATTTATATGTGGGATTTTAAAAATGATGCAAATGAACTTGTTTAAAAAACAGAAACAGACTCAAAGACATAGAAAACAAACTTGTGGTTACCAGTGAGGAAAGGGGAAGTGGAGAGATAAATTAGGAGTTTGGGATTGGCAGATACAAACTACTATATATAAAATAGATAAACAGCAAAGTCCTACTGTAGAGCACAGGGAATTTATTCAATATCTTGTAATAATCTATAATGAAAAAGAATATATATGTATATTTATAACTGAATCACTAGAAGCTAACACAACACTGTAAGTCAACTATAATTCAATTTAAAAAGGCACTGTTTAGCCCCATGTTACACAAACAAGAAGTGATGAGAATTAACTAGCTCAAGATCACATAGCTTTTACAAATCTAGATTCAAATAAGGATTCCTCAAGGTGACTGTTAACCTCTTCTAACAAGCACATAAAAAAATTATTAAACTCTCATTGACCCTCAATACGATCAAGAGGTTAATGCCCAGTCCTCCCACCCTTTGAGATAATTATTTCCAATAATGAATTCCAAGACATTCTGTCACATGTAGCAGTAAGCCTGGAGCCCTAACAACATTTCTGAGGCATATCAAGCGCCCTATATTCTTCTGATTTCTCTTAATCCGTGGTTGATCTCTGCAGAACTTTTGTTTCAACTCTTAAAGTTGCTACTCTTTTTTTAGCACCAGTTCTAACCAGGACCAGACCGTCACTCCCATTTCCCGAAGCCCCATCAATACTGGATTGCTGCATGTAATACAGTCCACTAAAGATAGGAAATTAGCACAGGGGAAGGACAGAACAGCTAGAAAAACAAGTAATTTTAAGATTAAATATTATCCTGCTCTTAATTTAATACTCCTTTGCTCTTGTCACTTTTGGGGATTTCTTACTGTCCATCTTTCCTCATAAACTCCACCCAGACATGGCCAGCTTCTCCCTGGGAATTCTCTTCCCTGGCTGAGAATTTGAAATGCTGGAGAGGTTTTATAAAAATATTGTTGTCTGGACCCAACTCAGACCAAGTAAATTAGACTCTTTACAGAGTGAAACCAAGAAATGGGTGTTATTTTCAACGTCCCACTTATTAATTCTAACGTGCAATTAGTTTGAAAATTACTGATTTAGATCCTTCATCCAATTTACTTCTTTCCAATCCTGAGTCCTCCAATTCCTTAGCCTACTAGCCAAAACTTGCCAGCTATTATTTTTTGCTTTTGCAGAGTAAGGTGTTTCTTTTTTTGTATCATTCTTCTTCCTCCTATTTTTTTTTTTTCCTTCTCTTCACAATGCCTTACAGCATGACCTTTTCATACTCAAAAAAGGTGATTTCCTAAATAAAAGTGAAGTTCTCTCCCCAGGGAAAAATCTGTCAGTCTTCGAAGGCAACTGTGTAAAACATCAACCAGTCTCCAATTGTGAAGAGTTTTTTTTTCTTTTCTTTCCTTACTCATTTCTATAATAGTCTTCAATATATTTAGTAACAAGTCAGTATTTCTACCCTCAAGCAGATCCCACAATAGTTGTGGCATTGATGGTGATAAAAAAAAAAAAGACCTAGTAAAGTTGAAAAAGCCCAAATAATCAGTCAGAGAATCTTTTACTAATGGCCATAGGGTTGTGGCCTCTGACTTAATCACAGGATTTAGGGGAAACTGGATGAAAACCAGGATGTGGTCATTGAGCCAAGGCATCTCTTTCATCATAGCATGCTTTATGCCCAGTAGCTAAACTTTAACTGCTAACTCCTCTGCATGTATTGCTGACAGATGCCCACTGCATATCCCCTAAAGATGCCATCCATCAGTCAAGATCATTCATTTACCCCCCAAATTTTTTAAAATGTGAGGAACAAAGTACAATTTCCAATTAGGTCACTTTGAAATATATTAGAATTCACAGTTAGCATGTTTCCTATTACAAACTATATATTCTCGGGGGTCAAGTGAGTGTCTTTGATCACTCTAAACTGAACTGATTTTACAGTCAAGGACACTACCCTTGGAAATAAGTTTTATTAGGCACTTTTATAAAATCACAGAACTTACACGGTGCAGTCATGTCCTGAACTCAGACATAAGCATCCATCCCTGACAGGCAAGTACAGTGGATTGTTCCCATTATGTTCATGGTGACATGAAAGGCCCAATGGAGAAAATGAGAGGCACTTCAAAACTAGCTGCTTTCAAGTAGAATAGACACCACTTGAATATATATATAGATAGATAGAGAGAGAATATATACCTGGCTGAGTGGTCAAGGGCCTTACCCAGAATTTGCATCATTATCAAAATTCTATGTGTTTAAGGACTGGTGTCTTTCAGAACAAATTCCTGTATATTTTCATGGAAATACCCCTCTCTCTTTTTTCTTTCTCTTCCCTGTCTGCCTCCCCCACATCATAAAAGTACCCCCTTGAGAGTTTCTGAACTTTCTCTTAGAAAGTCACAGAGTCTAGAGACTTGAGCCAGTGCGCTGAGTATCCACCAACCGTCACACCTGTCAATAGACGCTAATTCCCTCCGTGTCACTGACATAGAGTAAAGTGCCCTGTGGTCTGAGACCTCTAAGGCCATCTCCTTTTTTCCAGTCATTTCACATATTGTCTTCTGTTTATTTTGCACAAGTTCATTTCACCTCCCACAATCCCATTTCAGAAGACACTGCAGTTGTCTGTTGTGTTATAATTATTTGTGAAGGGTTCCATTACAGGATGCTTGTCCAGCTGCCTTAAATAACTTGCTAAATTTTTTAAAAGAAGAAGGATGTAAAACTGACAGAAATAATCAGTGGAAAAGCTGAGTTCTGAGTAATGGAAAACATAAAGTACAAATTCATATCTAATATATCTGAACAAGAAGTTGTTCCTAATAAATCACCGATGGTTATGTGAGTTTATTAGATGCTTCTATTTTTATGTTCATACACAAATGGAATTTCAGCATCACACAATTTTTCAAAAAGACACCTCTCACAGATGAAGGAAGTACAATATATATGTTGATATCTTGCTTTCAATCAATGAATACAAGCTTTATTTTTATTGCTTCTCCTTTACGTTCTAAGGTTTAATTTATGTCTATGATATGATGAAAGATATTTTTATGGGAAACCACATTTTTTTCTGAACCATTTTCTTTTCTTTATACTTTGAAAATATGATGTTCACATTTCAGAAAATAAAAAAAATGAAATGAAGAAATAATCAGATAGATAGTAAGGAGAGGATGTAAGAATAAGCTATTTACAACACAAACCATTCCAAGTACTCAGAAAATATATCTAAGCAACAGTTCTTATTATCTCTTTTTCTTCCTTAGGATTCCATCCCCAAAATGGTGACAGTGTTGAAGAGGATGCCTTCTCAGGTAAAGAAAAACTACTCATATCAAAGGCATATTTGTAGGCCTATTTTTTTAAGACTTTATTTTTTTAGAACAGTTTAAAGTTCACAACAAAATTAAAGGACAGGTACCACATATCCCCTGACTGCACACACGCACAGTCTCCTGATGAGCAGCACCAGTCACGGGAAGGCTGCATTGCTACCAAACATGAAGCCATACTGATGCATCGTAATCACCCAAAGTCCGTAGTTTACATTATGATTCACTCTTGGTGTTGTACGTTTGTACAAATGTATAATGATATCTACCCATCATTTGAATATTATACAAAATATTTTCACTGCCCTTCTCTGGGCATCCCTACCCTCTACCCTCACCCCTGGCAACCAACAAATTAGTTTGTCTCCATAGCTTCACCTTTTCCAGAATGTCCTATAGTTGGTATCATACAGTATGTAGCCTTTTCACTTAGTAATATGATATTAAAATCCCTCCACATCTTCTCATGGCTTGATAGTGCATTTCTTTTCAGCACTGAATAGCAGTCCATTATCTGAAGGTACTACAGTTAAAGTATCCATCCACCTACTGAAGGACTATTGGTTGATTCCAAGATTTAGTAATTATGAATAAAGCTGCTATAAACATCCATATGCATGTGTTTGTGTGGACACAAGTTTTTGCTTCCTTTAGGTAAATAACAAGGAATACCATTCTTAAATTTTATGGTAAGAGTACGCTTAATTTTGTGAGAAATCGCCAAACTGTCTTCCAAAATGGCTGCACCATTTTGCATTTCCCCTAGCAATGAATGGGAGTTCCTTGCCAGTATTTGACGATGTTAGCATTCCAAATTTTGGCTATTTAATAGGCATATTTGCAGACTTACTTTTTTAGAGACTCTTTCTCCTAACTATGCCCCCAATTAACTAATGGGTCTTTTTCTGAGTCAATGAAAGCAAAATCCTCAGAACTCTAAGAGTAAGACATGAGTTCAAAAGATCTTTCAGTAAAATCCCTTTATTTCTACTCAGCATAAAATTAAATAATTATTAGAAACTACCCTTCCATGCTTCTCTGTCCTTCGTCCATAAGTTTCTTTTCTTCCTTAATTTCTCTCACTCTGTTCTTTTTAAATCCTTTCAATCACATGACCTAAACTGGAAGTCCTTTCTGTTTTTAGGGAGCACAAATAGAGGAGTGTCTACAATTAGGTCTATGAACAGAGCCGCAGTGATTCATTTTTGAGCTCTATCTTCATTTTTATTGTACAAGACAGCTTACAATGATGATATAGAGTTGTATCTTTTCTATTCTCATTTGGTCTAGTAATAGATATTATAGTGAAGAGATACAGTCAAAAGATTACTGTGTACTTATTTTATTGCCTCATGGTAAATCACATTACTCTTCTTGTGGAATTGGAATGCCCTATACCTTGCACCACACTCTCTAAGTGACAGTCTTATCAAGTCACTACGTTCCTCCACGAAGGAGGCATTATCTCGTGGCAGATTGCCTGGTATGCCACAGAGCTGCTGCTGCAGGATTGTCCAAGCATCTTCTAACCTTGGGCCTGCCCCTGCTAGAGTTCCAGTCAAGTTCTAATGGCAGTGGGAAGAGAACAAAAGAAAATGGAAATGGGGGCCCTTCTTGGATAATGAAATGGATAAAGAGAGTGAGCAGACACTTGTACCAAATACCTTTAAAAGTATAATTTCACTTAAACAGAGTAAACTCACCCTGAACAATTAGGATATTTAAATGTAATTTTTATATATCTACAGAAAAAGATATTTTAAATAATCAGTGGTGATCATAATGTTTAAAATTCCTTCCAGGATAATTCAGATTAGTCCTAAACAATAAAACCACAGATGATTGAGACAGTTATGTTTTTCAATAACAAATTTTTATG